GCAAAAGAAAACACTACATGGCTAAATCTGTATATTCAAAGGCTGCAAAAGCAATAGAAACTCTACTAGTTTTTCAATTGCTCAATGATTTAATGACTCGGAATAATTTCTCAAAGGATAGCTAGAAAGCATCCTATCTGTAAAAAAGAACTGAAGAATCAATTGCTATTTTTGTAAATTCACAAGCTTTTCTACAAGTTGACAATATGTCTGCTTTCTTAAAGAAGGTTCACATAGAATAATAAATTCATTCAACAAGTTTTATTCAGAGCGTAATATGAGCCAAACACAAGAGCACATACCAAATATATGCTGCTCAATAATTCAGAACCAGCCCCTCCCCTCATGGAACTTACAAAGTAGTGAGATGAAGGGAGCCATCTGAGACAGCAAACAAGTAAACAAAGATACAAATTGTTTGTGTAGTAGGGTGGAATAAAGTTACAGAATGAAACAGTCATGGTGACACATGCCTGTAATCCCAGTGGCTTGGAAGGCTGAGACAGGAGGATCCCAAGTTCAAAGCCAGCCTCAGCAACTGAGCAAAACCCTAAGCAACTCCTGTCTCTAAATAAAATATAAAAAGGGGGCTAAGGGTGTGGCCCAGTGGTCAAGTGCCCCTGGGTTCAATACTGGGTACCAAAAAAACAATCATAGAAGAATATTAAAAAGGGGAAGTAAAACAAACAAATTTATATGGAGAATGAGCTGCAGATGGGCAAGAACAGAAGTCAAAGAGCAGAGAAAAGGTTAAGGTAGTGATACAGACAGAAAATACCATGGAGTAGGAAGTGAAAGGAAGGTCTGAGGTATTCTGACAGTGGAACTGGTAAGACTGCTCCTAAGTTGAGGGGGAGGGATGGTATTGGCATCTAAAAATAAGTCCTTAACTAAGATGACAGAGTAAGAAAAAAGGGTTTGGGGATGTTGGGGGTTTTAGTGGGGGAATTCAGAGTGGTTTTGGACATGACAGCTCTGAGGTGCAAATCAGAGGCTGGGAATTAGAGGAATACTGATGGGTTCTTTAATTTTACCTGAGTGTTTATAACCCAAAAATTAGTGGGCCACACTCCAGATTTTGAGTAAGAATGGGCTTGCACTTGTACACATTTTTATCACTGTCAAGTAATGTCAACTAGAATGAGAACCTCTCATGTATATAAATTCTTTTTTTCAGTGCTGGGAATCAAACCAGGGTCTCTTGCATGGTAAGCAAGTGCTCTACCACTTTGCTATGCTTCAATCTTATGTAAATAAATTTTAAAGTTCTATTTTGTCACCYATTATTATTTTATTTACTCATTTTAATTTTGGTACTAGGGATAGAATCCAGGGTGCTTAACCACTGAGCCACATCCCCAGCCATTTTTTATTTTGAGATAGGGTTGCTTAGGGCCTCACTAAGTTGCCGAGACTGGCCTCAAACTTGGAATCCTCCTGCTTCAGCCTCCTGAGTTGCTGGGATTACAGGAGTGTGTAAACACACCCAACTACAAATATAACTCTTCACAAAATAATAATAATAATAATAATATGTTGAGCAGCATGTTATAATAATGGTTTGATTTAATAAATCCAGAGCTATCTAATCTCCTCCAGACATACAGCATTACAAAGGGAACACTGCTATAATTAGACATTCTTTCAAATGACATTTACTCAAGCCATTCTGAAGGAGAATACCCTATTTCATAAATATTTTCTTGCAAAATACTCATGAAATATCTCACAAATGAGTAATTCAAGGTTCAGAAAGATGAAGAGTCTTGCCCAAAGGACACATAATCAGAAACAACACTGAGATTCAAAATCAAGATAACACCAACTCCAATCTGTTCTCAAACAACACAAAAATGCTTCCCACCCCAAAGTTCACCATCTGTGACATGCCATGTACAAAAATAATTATAAGAAGATAAAAAGAGGTGTTTTACTTAGGAGAAACATAAAAGGTAATCAGAAGGAAAATTTTCTTAAGTTTCCTACTTAAATTCTAAAATTGCAGAAATTGTAAATTCCACCCTTGAAAGCATCCCCAAAAGCTAATGACAGGAAAAACATCTGAATTCTACACAAAAACATCTGACTTCTACAGTGCACAACTTCTCCACAAACTTAGGCAGCCTGCATAGTGATTTTGGCTTCAAAGAATCCTGTATAATTCCCAGCTCATCTATTTGCCTAAGGTCACAAAACAAGTCACTAACAGCTAAGCCTCATAAAGACACAGGGCTTGGAATAAAGAACCTATATGTACACTTAATAAAGTCATTATCAGTTGTAATTATTGTAAAAGAACATATGAACGATAACCTGTGGCTGAGATTTCATTTTAACACAGAATGTTAGATTTTGCTTTAATTTAATTATATATTTCAATCTACCAAAATACAATAGTACTACTGTATTTCCTAAAATGTTTACAATCCTCTTTGCTAATCCCCCACACCAGGTTCCATCCCTTGACTAAAAGTTCAGGGTCATTCACCCTTCCACAACAGTTCTAATACTTTTGGCTATTTATATTCACAAACTACACTTTAAGTTCCTTAAAGGCAAAAGCTGTGTCTTGTTCATTGCTCATCATTCATTTAACATTGAGTTTATTTACTTGGCACTGACCTAGGTCCTGCAAATACAGCAGTGACAAAGTTCCTGCACCATTAAAGTTTATGAAATAACAAAAACATTTAACAAATGAGTACATGTATCAGCAATAAGTACTATTTAAAAGAGAGCAGGAAGCTATAGTATGGTAAGAGYTCAGGAAGTTGCTATTTTACACAAGTTTAAGGGAAAGCCTCACATATACAAGAAACCTTACGTGGGGCAAGACCACGGGTATCTATAGGGGAGGCATCACGGAGACAGGGGGAAGAGCAAGTGCAAGGCACGACAGCAGAAACAGTCCTTGTTGGGAAGATTATTAAACAGGCAAATATGTGGATGTTTGTGGGGGTAGGGACAGAGACACATGGGAGGGCAGGCATTAGGAGTAGAGTGACATGATCTGAAACAATCACTCAGACTTCTGTATGGAGAATAGAAAATAATGAACAGACGCAGTGAGCTTCATTAGAACATTACAATAATCCAAAAGGAAAGGAATGGTAGCCTGAACCAAAAGAGCAAAGATGGTGCTACTGACAGCAGTAATGATGAGCAGAATTTGCTGATGGACTGGATATCAAGGGAGAAAAGAGAAGAGGCAAGGAGAGCTTTTAAAAGATTTGGGAAGAGCAGAATTGCCTTAATTGAAACAACTGTTAAAGAAGCAATTTTATTTCCCCAGAACCCAGCACAATGCTCAGTATATACCATAAACTCAAATACTTGACAATTAAACTGAATAAACTCCCAAGATGAAGCAGGTAAATTTAAATGTCTTAGTTTTGATTTGCTCTAATAGTCCTTCAGTAGTGTTTGTTAATTACATTTAAAGAGACTTAACCACAATCACACGGTTAATTGCAAGTGCTAACATAGAAACCTTATACCGGGCCACAACAATTAATCCTAACATCTCAAAAATCATTCTCAGTTTTAAATCTACAACTCTTTTGGATACAAAAGAAATCGACTATTAAAGCTTTGTGACAGCCTGAGGATTCTTACACCCAAAGTAATTAACCTGTTCGTTAATGATATCATATTCCTGGAAGGTATAGTGGTGCAAAGAGAACTCCCTAGGCCAGAATTAATTGAAATCATAACACTTCATAATAAATTTTCAGAATGCAACAAGACTGAACAAGTCCCTTAATAAACTAAGCTATCAGCATTTTTTAAAATAACTCTTTGTAAAGCTCAAACAGTAAGTCCCTTCGAAATAATCTCAATGAAAAACTAAAATCTGCTGGAGAATGTGAAATTTAGCACATCTTCCCCGCACTTTGCCTGCCAATTAGAGCAACTGAGCGTCACTGGGGGAATAACTGGGTGGCCTCACCTTTGGCACGTGTCTGAGTAGCATTACGGGATTTTCTAACCCAGCAGCTTCACTGTACCCACGAAGAAAAAAGTTATCAGAAACACACTGGAAGGAATTCTCCGAAAAATAAAGTTACTATCCTTTCTCCCTTCCGGTTTACTTTTAAATTTTTTACTGAAGCTTTAAATAACACTTCTCTCCACAACAGTTTCCCTACTGCCCCACCCTCACCTACTGTGATTTAAAACAAAAGTGTGCTTACAAACTTTCAGCGAAAACATTGCTTTAAAAACAGGTCATTCAGAGACTGGTCGTGCTGAATTAAGCAACAGGCAATACTTTCCTTGTTCCTATCAGTCAAAGGCCTTGAACCAACCCAAACAAATCTGCGAAATGCCAGCCAGATTCCCCGTATCTCCCCCGCTCCCTCCCCGCAAAGCAGGCCTGGAAACGCCACGGTCGCTGGAAGCCCAGCTGAACAGAAAAGAACCGGTGGTGAGCAAAACAATGATTTTTGGAGGCTTGACAGTTAGGAGCCTGATCTGCCACCACCACCTAGAAGCGAGGGAGAGCCGGGACGGCCGCGGTGACTCTCGGAGTGGGGCGCACACATCCTCGGCCCGCTCCCGAGCTCCGCGCGCACAGAGGCACAGCGCCCCGGGTTAAGGGGCGCCCAGGGGTGCCCGGGCAGAGCACGCAAACACGCCGGCGTGCCCAGCGTGAGCGCGGCGGCTCCGGGAGCGGCTAGCCGTTCGGCCGGACCCCGAGACGCTGGAAGCAGGGAGGGACACCCAGCTAGGGTCTGCCCACCGTGGGGAAAAGACTGGACAGGCCACAGGTGAAGGCCCCCCCCCCCAGAAGGGGCCTAGGAAGCGGCTGCTTCCCGGCCGGCGGGCGGGGACGCGGGGGCGGAGGCGCGGGCTGCTGTTGACTCCGACTGGGGAAGCCCTGGAGAGCAAAGGGGGAGCCAGAGGGGAGGGGAGGGGCGCCAGGGGACAGCGGTCCTCAGGGGCGCGACGCGAGCCGGGCCGGCGGGCGAGGAGCCGCCGCTCCCCGCCCCCACACTCACCATGTACAGGGTGAAGGGCAGGCCGAGCAGAAAGAGCCACAGGTAGAGGTGCAGCGCGTTCACGAAGGTGGCCTGGTGCGGGTCGTAGTACCAGCCCCCGCTGAGTGCGGCCCACACCCCCTGCCGGAGGATCTGCAGCGTCTGCGACCCCATCCCCACCCGGCGCCGCCGCCGCCGCCGCCGCCGCCGCCGTCCCCGCCCCGGCCCCAGCTCGGCCTCGTCGCCCGAGCCTGCAGCTGCCCGGTCTATCCCCCTCCCGAGCTCCGGGAGAGCGGGCCGGCGCCGCGGCGGTCGCTAATGCTGCTGCAGGAGGAGGAGGCAGCGAACCGGGAGGAGGAGACCGAGAAGGAGGAGGCGGCGAGCGGCGGGGCGGAGGAGGGCAAGGAGGAGGAGAAGACCGGCCTCCAGAGCGCCGCCGCCATCTTGTCTCCTAACACCCGGAGCCGGGGCCGGAGCCCGACCCGCGGCCCGCCAGCGCCCCCGCCGCCGCCGCCGCCAGGACCCCCGCCGGCCGCCAGTCCTGGCCCGGSGAAGGAGGCTCTCTGGCGCCCGGCAGGGACACGGAGGAAGCCGCGCCCCCTCGGGCTCCTCCTCTCCTTTCCCTCCGCCCCCAAAGCCGGCTCCCCGCGGGTGCGCGCAGCGCCTCGGCCGCGCGGGCGCCTCCTGCCGGCCCCCGGGAGAAGCGTGTGCGGACGCGGCCCCGTGACTGGGAGAGGCGCCCTGGAGAGGAGTGGGGGATCCAGGTGACCCCATCCCGCCCCCCCCCCCCCCGGTAGATGACTGGCAAATCTATTTACTGATTCCTCAAAGGGGTCTTTTTGACTCCGAAATCAATAGACCTTACCGTCAGAAAAGCATCCTGACTGATATTTGCAATATCGTGAAAGACCTAGGAGCAATTGAAGCTAAGGTCTGAGAGAGACTCACTGAAGGCCTGGAAGAATTAATTCTTGAAAAATCACAAATGCTCCCACATTTGAGAAGGAAGTGTTTTGGCCCTTGGAGCTGTGCAACTTGGATGAGAAAAATACTCAAATCCCAGACTGGAAGGATTTAGTACTTCCAAGGATAAATAAATTAATAGAAGTTGCAAGAGATATAAAAGTATAGAGCAGGCAAGTTATCTTTTGTGCGCTGTGACTTTATTTTTTAACGTGCTATAGCTAGTAGCCATTTTTATCAATGGGCCAATCTAAATGGGGTTGAAAGAGTTAACTGTGACTCCACCCCAAGTTACAATAGGGTCTTGTACTTCTCTTTTTATAGCTGTAAAAACTGAGAATCATTCTTGGCTCTGTGTAGTGTTTGTAGTGCATGTCTGATCTCACTGAATGAAATTTTTAAAAAAGAGTTTATTATAGCAATTAAAGTACTCCACATTCCCAAATTAAAGTTGCTATAATTAATGAGGGAAGCAAGAAAGCCAAAGGAACTGGTGACGTTTTAAGGAGAGTAGTGAAAAACCATCACAATACCTCCAAGTGCTATGCCACTTTACAGTTGTTCAAACATTTTCACACCCATTTCATTTGATACAACACTATTGTGGGCAGCATAGAGGCTATCCTTGTTTTATGAATGAGTGAACCTACACCTCAAAAAAACTTAAGTGATTGCCCAGGTCCTCATAAGTAATAAGTGGTTGAGAAGACTTTAAAACCCCAGTCATCCTCATTGTAAACTGAACTTTCAAAGTTTACTTTTAGGCATTCTTCACCTATCCATACAGGTAAAAGTTTGAACTGATTAGCAGTTTCTGGTTACCTGTGCTTGTGGTCAGCATAAATGCTGTCCTCCTAGTGTAGTTGGGGGACATCATGTCAGGGCTTGTTAGACACAAATTTCCCAAGCACCATTTCAGAGAAGCTGTGGGGTGGGGTCCAGCAAACTGTTTTGATAAGCCCTCCATGTGAAGAAGACAAAAAATGAAATAAAATAATCCTTCCAGAGGATCCTAGTGGACATTCAAGGTTGGAACTACCACTGTAGAACAACACCCTCCACAGCCTTGATTTATTTTTTTATAGCAGCAAAGTTCTTGAGTTCCAGTAAGACACCTTTAAATGAAGAGATGTGAATGATCACTAGCCAAAATATATTTTTAAATGTGTCTAAAAGCAAAATTAAGATTAAATAATACAAGTTTACAATTAAAGTAGTGACTGTGGGGCTTGGTCACAGACACAAGGTATTGTCAAGTTTTCATTTGTTTCTCCTAAAGGAGACAGGAAAGCTCTCTGAGAAGGTTTTGGAAGTGATCCCAAGCTTTCCAACACAAAGAAAGATGTAAACAAGGATAAAATTCCAATACCACATCAGTTTCCACAGCAGCAAACATCCACTGTGGTTTAATATGGAAGGATTAACTGTAATAAGGGTGAGGTAGACTGAGAGAAGTGGAGACTAGAACTAGATACATCCATGGAATGAAAAGCAGACCCAGCTGGCGTGATGAACATTCAGCCAGAAGACAGTATCTGGAGAGTATGGATCCGGCAGCAGGCCAGGAAGGCAGCCGGCAGCAGGGTGGTTCCACACAGAATTGTAAGCCATTGGACAGCTGGAACACAGCCTGGAGAAACCCAGGAGCAGGCAAAAATTAGGAACTCATAACAAGCATCAAGAAAATGTCTTGCTGATAGCACAGTCTCAGCCTCAGTTTTTCCAGGTGCAAATTCAGATCCTCAAGCTGATTACGGGACAAGTGTTGGGGACTCAGGAGAATAAGACAGACATCCAAAGGCCAGATATGGAAGACAGAGTGAGACAAACAAAGCAGAATCTTACATAGGACATGGTCCATATTACACTGAGCATGATAGCCTTATACTGAGGTCCCTGAGTGTTAGTACAGAACTCTAATTCCCCTTCAATATGGCTGCACTTGAGCCAAGAGCATAGAGATGGGAATCACAGGGCATCAGCCACTGGGTGAAAGAGGGACAACAAGATGGATAGGCCCAGAAGGTGTCTGGTAGAAGCATCTTGGAAAAATGCTAATTAACTAACTTAGGGAGTTAGCAACTAAAATAACCCAAGGAAAAGGCTGACCTTTCCAAGTGACTGACTCAGTCATCAGAGATTGGGTGGGGGGGAATCTACAGTGCTTTTTATCTGTAGCTTTCAAAATGTGTAGGACTCCTACCACAACAAGCTTCCTATTATAAACAGAGCACTAAGGCACAGAGAGGTTAAATGGTTTGCCCCAGGTAACACTCTCTAAAAGTAAGAGCAGGACAAAAATTAAGAGATCTAATTTGCTAAGTGTTTGGCCTCTGAGCCAAGCATAAAAGCCTTTCATAGTGTTACACTTAGCATGTCAAAGTTAGCAGCCATGACATACTACCAAACCACCACCTGACATTTGCTCATCTTTCAGCTAATCCTATTAAAATTATGTTTCCTGACTAGCTCATAGGCCCCTTGAGGACTGGGAATGCTCAACAGCAGATGCTCTCTCCTGCCTGAAAGGGACAAAGCTGCATAGGCAAAACCTTTTAATAACCCCACCCAAACCCACCCGGGAGCAGAAGCATCCACACTGCAGTTCTGTCAGTTATACATAGTGGCAGTTATCTACTTCAGGGCCTGTGTGTCCTGCTAATAGGCCCACTGCAGAAAACATCCGTGTTTTCTCCAGGCCAGCCCCTCTTCTTTGTCTTAGTGAAACCAACATTTTCCAACCTGCTCAGGATTGGACCTTCACATACTGACCCCCCACCCCCCGCTGCCATGGACTAGACTTCTATCATTTTTCCTCTACCCGACCCTTCCTTAATGTTGCCAAATCAGCCATCCTGGTGGATGCCTTCATTCACTCATGCCCAGTAGCTCCTATTGCCATCTCTCCTCTTCAAAACCATTGGACCTTCCACCAGCAAATGCATCTCCCTAATTCACTTTTTTTTTTTTAAAGAGAGAGAGAGAGAGAGAATTTTTTTAATATTTATTTTTTAGTTTTCGGTGGACACCACATCTTTGTATGTGGTGCTGAGGATCGAACCTGGGCCGCACACATGCCGGGTGAGCGCACTACCGCTTGAGCCACATCCCCAGCCCAATTCACTTTTCTTAAAGGCTTTTAATTTCCTACAGTTTCCTACAGGACTAAAGGCATGCTCCTTAACTTCCTCTACTCCCCAGCATGAACCCTTTCAGTTGGTGAATATCAGCACACTTATTTTTACCTGCCCACACATTTATTAATTCGGCCTCTGCTCTTACAGATACCAAATGCCTCACCAGAAAAACCTTATCCCTCTACCTGCCTACTAAAATCCACAATGACTACTCCAAACTCATTCATCTATTTTGTGAACAGCCTAGAGCTCTCACATGTTCCACCCATTTAGCACTTAATTGTGTGCCACACTGAACTGTATCTCTCACACTGAACTGTATATTCCTTGAGGGCAAGGACTTCCCAGCATGCCCCAGGTTCCTAGCAGAAAGCTGTTAAGATCAGAAGCACAGAAACCAATGACTTTCCAATTAGAGATTTTAATCTATTTTAGCATTCATTTGGTAGCTCTTCAACATTTAAAAGTGTTTCACCAGTTTAGATCAGTTCAAGAAAGGGGAAAAAAAATGAAATAAAGATGACGAGAACTTGGAAGAGAAGTGCCCTAAAACTATTTCCTGATTCTCTTTTTTGCCATTTGCTATATTCTACTTCATATCACATCAGGAAAATAAATGACAAAAGAGGGATGGAAAGGAGAGTTCCAAATCTTACATAACATAAAATACCAATATCTGGATATGGAGCTAAACAAGTAAAAGTAGAAGGTTTTTTTTACTACATAGGAGATTATCCTTGGAAATCTCAGTTCCTTTTTTTTTTTTTTTTGAGGTGTGGATTCTATATGATGAATACTTTGAAACATGTTTTAATTGACACTAACTAGTTCAAAAATATTTGTTATAGTTTTGTGTCATTCTGAGAGTATCTTCTGTTATATCTCAAGAAAAAAAATTCACTTTTCTTAAATTATCATTACACTTTCAGGGTAAGACAATGAAAGGAAAGGAGAAGTATATAGGATATTGCAATACTCCCCCAATATTGGGAAACCCTAAATCAGTAACAGTATATTCACACACTGTTTTTCATCTTTCAACAGTAAAAGATTGCTCTATGTCCATCTTGTGTCTAATGTATTAAATACATCATTTTAAAGGGTGGTTACCTTTCTGCTTCAGCCAGGTAGTATAATTCCAGCAGGATTTACTGGCCAACTGAGGTGGCTGAGTGATACTCTCACGAACGTACTCCCTCTGTTAGTCACTACAGTTTCAGCTGGATCACCTTCAGTAGTTATGCAGAAATAGGAAAGTTGCCATCTCTGGGGACTGGATTCCTGGCTTCTCTGGCAGGGAGCACCAAGCACATTTCCTTGGCGGGAAGGCGATGTTTTACAGTGAAAAGATTATGATGTGTGGAATCCAATAAACCTATGCGTTTTATTTGTTTGTTGGTTTGTTTTTGCGTGTCTGTGTGTGTTTTGGGACCGTGGGCTCCCACGTACGTGTGTGTGTGTGTGTGTGTGTGTGTGTGTGTGTGTGTGTGTGAGAGAGAGAGAGAGACTAGGATT